AGTACATGTGAAGCACGCTTACAGCTCAACACTGAAAAAACAAACAATGCTATTGAAGTGGATTATTGAATAGACATTTACCCAAAGAAGAAATACAAATGGCCAATAAGCATATAAAAGGATGCTCAACATCATTAGGAAATCAGGGGAATGTAAATCAAAATCACAATGAGATATCACTTAATTCATGGTTAATTAAAAAAAGCAGGCAATAACAACTACTGGCACAGATGCAGAGAAACTGAAACTCCCATCCACTGCTGGTGGGACTGCAAAATGGCGTAGCCACTGTCAAAAACAAGCTGGCAGCTCCTCAAAGTGTTCAACAGTCATGTGACCCAGCAATTCCATGCCTAGGTACACAAATGTTCACAGCAGCATTATCTGTAATACCAAAAAGTGGAAGCAACCTAAATGTCTACCAACTGATGAATGGATAAATGAAACATGGTCTATTCATACAATGGAGTATTATCCGGCAATAAAAAGGAACGAAATACTGATACATGCTACAACATGGATAAACTTCTAAAACACTATGCTAATTTAAAGAAGTCAGCCACAAAAAGCCATATATTGTACGATGCCATTTATATGCAATGTCCAGAATAAGTAAATCCATAAAAACAGAAAGAAAATTAGCAGCATCAGCCGCCAGCAGCCACTAAGCTAGTGGGAGAGGGATGAAAATGTTCTGGAATTACAGTGATGGCAGCACAACATGGTGAATGTAATTAATGACACTGAACTGTACGCTTCAAGACAGTTAAAATGGCAAATTTTTTTCTTATCTATAGTTTACCACAATAAAAAAAAATAAACACATTCTGGAATTAGTGGTGATGACTACACAACTCTGACGTATGAAAAACTACTGAACTAAACAGTTAAAAGGGGTGAATTTTGTGGTCTGTGAGTTATATCTCAATAAAGCTGATGTTTAAAAAAAAAACTATGACTTGGGTCTCCAACAAATTGAAATATGATTGCTACACATGCTCTAAGGCGCCCTGGTGGGAGCGATGGATCACCCAATAAGCAAGGTACGCACAGGCCTATTTGTGCTTACTTACTGATCTGTAGTGCACAATTTTACCTGTTCATCAAAGAGGTGGTGAAACCCATGTGAAACTGTGCACTACAGATTAGTAAACCAGCCCACATGTACCTTGCTTACTGGTTAACCCGCCCCTGCCTGGTGGTGCAACAGTTACTAAGCGCTCAACTGCTAACTAAAAGGTTGGTGGTTTGTACCCAACCAGTGGCTCTGAGGGAAAAAGACTTGGTGATCTGCTCCCCTAAAGATCACAGCCTAGAAAACCCTATGGGGCAGTTCTAGTCTGTCACCTGGGGTCTCTATGAGTCGGAATCCACTCACAGCACCCAACACCACCACCACATACTATGTACACATTCATTAAGTACATTGTACCTTCTGTAGCAAATAACTGCAACTGAAGGCAGAGGCAATAAACCACAAAGACTCAAGTAAGACTCAAGTTTCCTCAAATGTAAAATGTGAATAACAGTACGTATCTATAGTGTGGTTGATGGTTAAAAGCCAAGCATTTATTTGCACGCTCCAAGAATATCACAATCTCTGGCATACACTCCCATTTGTTTAGCTATCATTATTAAACACATACATATAAACTTAAATGTTCAGTTCTGCACAGAAGCTGCACAATAAGCACGTTTGCATTGGCTGAAGCTACCCCACACTCCAAATTCAAATTTCATTCATTATTCACCCAGAACTTCTCACATGCTCAGCAAGAAGATCACAATGGTCAGTGTGACACAGTTCTACCCTCAATGTGTTCACTGCCTAATAGTACGTATGCAACTGTTCAATAAAATACTCACATCTACCCCAAACTAGCTACCACCTCTGCTCTGCACCCCTCAGTCAGACTGATCAAAATTTAAGGGAGTATTATATGAGAGCTCAATGTCAAAGCTTGCATATGATTTTAGAAATTAGTATGGGCAGGGTACAGGTAGAGGGCTGGGAGAGAAGAAGCTGGAGAAAAAATGTTAAGAGACTATCAAGACATGCTAGCATTCCCCATGAAGGATTCAAAATAGTTGAAAAGAAAATGGATTTAAATGTGTGTACTGCTTAAAACAGTTAGCAGCAGTAACAGCAGTATATTTACCTAAAGAAAACGGCTACTCCCGAAGTTTAGCAAACAGGAACCTTAGGTTACACACACTACAGATCAACCATTGCCTGTCCTTCTTAAACTACCAAATGCAACATTTAAACCAATTACAAAAACACACTTATAAATACAGGGAATGGAATTTTCAGTGGGCAAGAAGTCAGGTAGATCAGGGTTGTACACCAAAACTATGCTACCGAGATTCACACATTGGGAAAAATTAATAAACTATAGAAAACATGCTCAACTTTCCCAAAAAAGGTCAAGAGAGAAGGGTGGCAGTGAACACTGAGAGGCCTGCATGGCTGGAGCTGACCAGAGGGGCACAGTGCGCATAAAGAGGCAAGCAGGAACTAACAGCACCAGGCCTCTCAGGGCAAAGAATGGATTTCAGGTGCAACAGGGAAGCCACTGAAGGGTTTTAGCAGATGAAGAAACCACTCTGGCTGTTGTCGGGAGAATGGATGGAAAGAAAATAACAAAGGAAGAGATGGTGACAGTCGCAGGGCAAGGCAGCGGTCTGGACTAGTGTGGCCGACGTGGGAGATGGAACCAACTGGCTTTAGAAACAGTTTAGTGGACAAGGGAGGGAAGAAATCAGGATGACGCCAGGTTTCTCAGTTAACTAGGTGGCTGAAGTGACTTACAGAGATGGAAAAGACTGGAGGAAATCAGAACTCAGAGGAAAAAAGGAATCAAAACCACCCCTGTTGAAGAGAAGCGGGCGGTAGGGAAGATGCCTCCAGGTAGTAAGGTCGCACTTTCCCCTCTGAAGCCAATCCATCTACTGAGGCAAACTAAGGATGGACATGTGGGAGGTAATGAGATGGCCTAACTAAAACGCTCAAAATAATCTTTCTCTGAGGCTGACGAGTAAAATAAAGCTGGAGACCTGGAAAACACAAACAAAATCAAAAAGAATCTCATACACACATTTAAGTGATGGTACCTGTGCTCCCACCTACCACGTGTACATTTGTAGAAAGACAAGCCATCTTCCTCCCATCTCTCCTTCCTGGTTACCAGCACCATCACCGCCCAGCCACCCAGTATCTCTGATACTCCATCCTACCCCTCTCCACCCCACATCCAGTCATCAAAACCTGTTGCTTTGCATCGATATCAAAGGCTCTCTCTCTCTTCTTCAAATTACACATGACCAGAATTCCACACCCAAGGGACATTCTGCCAATACTCTGGGTTGAGACAGGTGTTTAAAGAGTGCGCCAGATGATTCTAATGTGCAAAGAATCACTAGCCATAAACTCTTAACATCTTTTCCTCATTGTTCCTAATGGAGCCCTGTGGTTAAGGCGCAGTGGTTAAGAACTCAGCTGCTAACCAAAAGGTTGGCAGTTTGATTCCACCAGTTGCTCCTCGGAAACCCTTTGGGGCAGTTCTACTCTGTCCTACAGGGTCGCCACGAGTCGGAATAGACTTGATAGCAATGGGTTTGGTTTGGCTCTAGCCTTCCTGATTCCAACCTATTTTCTACATCACTACCAGAATTCCCTTTCTAACTCAAATATTCTCTGCTATAAAAAAACACTGTAACAACTGGTAAAATCTGGATAAAGTCTGTAGATTACATAACAATATCACATCAATTTGTGGGTTTTAATCATTGAACTGGGGTTATTTAAAAGAATGTCCTTAGTCTTCAGAAATAAACACTGACATATTTAGGAGTAAAGGACATCATGTCTCAAACAGTTCAGACAAAAATATGCGTACGCGCAGACAGAGAAAAAGCGAGAATGTGCATGTCATAAAACGTTAACATCTGGAGAATCTGGGTGAGGGCTATATGGGAATTCTCTTACTCTTCTTGCAACTTTTAAGTCAGAAATTACGTCAAAATAAAAAGTTTTAAAAAATCCCAAACACTTCATTCTCACGTGTACCTTTGCTAACAATAATCTTAAGTTGTTAAATCATTTACACACATACTTTGCGGTCCTAGGTAATCAATTTACTGGCATACATGAAATGCTATTTTTCTGGAAAAACAACCAGAATTATACAGAATACGAATGACAAGGCAATTTCTTTTCAGAAGCCAAAACTGTGGTACACAGGCCGAGTTCCAGCTCTTTGAATTCCCTTCATTGAAACAAGACAATAAAGACGAAGCACACCTCCCCACAAGGCAGTGTAAAAGTGTTACTATGAGACAATGCACAAAAAGAAACAAAATAAAAGAAAAGTAACTGAGCTAGGAGTGCCTGATGATCTGAATATTCCAATATGACAGAATGTTCTGGTGGGCTTCAGGGGGCATTCAGGGTTATCCACACACATGGCTGCACCTAGGGCAGAGAAGATACTGACCCTCCAAGATGTGCTGAGAGCTCTGGGTTTGCAGTGGCTCCATGGACTCTGTGAAGCTTTCAGAATCATGAAATTACCCTTAACCATCAACTTAATTTGACAGTTACAAGTGTGAACTGACATGTGCCAAGAAATAAAACAGAAAAAATGCTGTAGCCATTAACCAGTATTCTAACAAATTGCTCACTACAACTAAACGCCCAGTCAAGTTCATCACCTCTCTAGAGTGAGTGTTCTACAATGTACACAAACCAGTAAATACAGTAATTCAAAACATCTTGGAAAAAAACTTACAAAAACAAAACATAACCTTATCAACAACAGAAAAGGAGGTGCCAAAACACTTCGAAATTATACAAAAACACCATTTGTTTAGATGGCACTAAAATCTGTTAATTCATACATGAGGACAATTACTTTAAACATAATTATATTTAACCTTGAAAAAACGACAACATTCAAAATACAATCTAGAATAAAACAAAAACGATAAACTCAACTCACCAGCAATCTCTACAATATCACCAGGAACTATGTCTTTAGCTTTAATCCGCTGTACACTCTTTCTATCCTGTCTATACACTTTGCCCATTTCAGGCTCGTACTCCTTAAGGGCTTCAATTGCATTTTCAGCATTTCTTTCCTGTAAAAAAGAAAATAGAAGAATAAGGTATTAAACACCGATCTGTCACTGCAAGTGTTTCCAGCCCAACAAATCAAATCTTAAGAGTTTTCATCTAAACATAAAAAGCAGCTGTAAACTCTGCTGTCTGTGAGCACACCGTAGAACACGGCCAGCCCTCCCCTCCCATCCACACACCCCACATCATTTAAGTCGGTCTTGTCTCACATGAAAGGTAGTATAGCGTAATGGTCTAGGCCTAGGCTCAATTCAGGATCTTCCACTTAACAGCTAGTATTTGTCGATAAGTTACATGACACACAGGTGTAATGGCAATACAGCGAAGACAATAATAGTACCTACTTCAAGAGTTGTAAAGATTAAAAGTGGCATGTATAATGCTTAGAACCATGTCTGCTACATAATAAATGATATGAGTGACAAATAAAGAAAATCTAGTTACACTTCTTAACTTCTAATCAATCTCTCTCCAGTGGTAAAGATCAGTGGATGGCTGGATCTCACCAGAACACCACCAGTCACATACCATATTTACCAGAGTATCATCTATAAATATACCAAGACTTGGTCACACAGGTTTTCATTCTTAATTTCAAAATGAAATGAGTACCATGTTGAAAACAATACTATGGGAAAATGGCTTTTAAAAAAACAAAAACAAAACAAAGAAAAGCTAATGTGCCAAATTCATCTTCTCTCCTTTTACAGAAGAAAACAGCTAGATGTGAAGGAGCAAACCTACAGAGTGCAAGCCCAGGCGACGTTACTCAGTGTTTGGACAAAGGGAAGTAGTCCCACACCTCACATTTTGCCTTCCTTCTAAAGCTCTTCAACTTCACCTTCACATGAGGTCTCTTTTCAATTTGCTGTAAGAATTACTGTGGCATGTTGTAAACAATCCCTAAACCTGCTTAAAGATGTCAGAAAACTGAGAGCAAACAGCATGTGTGCCTCACTTTTTATACATGCATCTCTGAAAAAGTATCCGAAGACATGAATTTGGGAAATTCATAATAAAAGTAATTTCAGTCCCATATCAGATTTGCTTAAAGAATGAGTATGTCTACATAAATCACTTCACAAGTTATACAGCTGCTAGAATATTAAACCTGAATTCACATCACTTCAATAAAGGTCCTTCATGGTCCCAACCCACCTGGAGTAAAGGAGAACGAAGAACACCAAAGTCACAAGGAAAGTATTAGCCCAAGAGACAGAAAGGGCCACATAAACTAGAGACTCACCAGCCTGAGACCAGAAGAACTACATGGTGCCCAGCTACCACTAATGACCACCCTGCCAGGGAACACAACATAGAGTCCCTGATGGAGCAGGAGAAAGGTGGGGTGCAATACTCAAATTCTAGTAAAAAGACCAGACTTAATGGTCTCACTGAGACTCAAGGAACCCCAGAAAGCATGGCCCCCAGACTCTCTGTCAACCCAGAACCAAAAGCATTCCTGAGGCCCAACTCTTTAGACAAAGATTAGACTGGACTATGGGACACAAAATAATACTCGTGAAGGTGCGCTTCTCAGCTCAAGTAGATACATGAGACTAAATGGGCAGCTTCTGTCCAGAGGTGAGATGAGAAGGCAGAGAGGGTCAGGAGCTGGTTGAATGGACACAGGAAATACGGGGTGGAAAGGAGGACTGTGCTGTCACAGCATAGGGACAGCAACTAGGGTCACATAACAATGTATGTATAAACTTTTGTATGAGAGACTAACTTGAATTGTAAACTTTCACTTAAAGGACGACAACAGAAAAAGTTTCTTCAGGTTAAGTTGAGATGTTACTGCTACTGGAGAAAGAATAAATTCTGAGTATGGTCGCTATTCACTTACAGTCAAATTGAAACCAACTTCTTTTTCCATAGGATCCCCACCCCCCAATTTATGAATGGTAGCAGTTTTACTTCCTTTTCTCCCTTTTCAAGCTCATGTCAGGTAAAGTTTAACTGTAGTGCTCAAAATTAGGGAGATGTCCCAAAAATACTAACTTACTAAGGACCCTCCATAATTTGCTCCTACTCGGTTAGCAAAGGTGCAGCATACTCTTAAACGTACCTCAGACACTAGGGGCAAAGATGGCTAATCAACAATCACTTAAAAAGCCCCCCACCCCTCAAACTATCAACCCCCAACCCCTCCAGGTATATCTCCTACTCAAACTCAGTAGCCAAATTGTTCTAAATGTCATTTCTCAAATGCACTTTGAAACTTCCTAGCCATATGCCACTCCCTCTCTGGGATAGTCTCCCCCAGACTCCAGGAACTCCATTCCTCTATAATCCCAACTGCTTGCCACCTCCTCTAAGAAGCCTTCCTTGAAGACACTGACCAGAAACAATACTCATCCCCCCTCCATACTCATTAAGAGTGAAGAAGTGACTTACTAGAGACTACCTCACTTTATGATTATAATTTCCCTTACTTCTAGGGGGCAAGAACCCTCTAGTATTGCTCATACCATTCTGCATATCGTGGAAAAAGGATTAAGGCTGAAGAATGTTATTTAAAAAAAAAAAAAAAAACAAACTAAGACAAATTTGAAAGCCTTGTGAAACTGTTGTTAAGATTTTACTTTGTAATTGAGATCAGTCTGAGCCTGGGCTCAAATCTCAGAACTTTATGAACTCTGTGGTCTTTGATAGTCACTTAAATCACCCAAACCTCACTGCCCCATCTGTCAAATGGGAACATCATCTGCCTTAAAAGATCACTATACAGTTAAAATGGAAATGTACCTGAAGTACCTCATGCAGTAACTGGTGTAAATTATTATTTATAAAAAATAAAAATTACTACCTTGGGAATAAGAATAATCTAATTCTGTGTATATTTTGTCTCTTTCCCTAAATTACACACAAGAGGATAATTTCTACTAAAATATAAACAAATTTGTCTTTTTTAGAAAAAAACTGAAGTGAGAAAATCAATATAGCACAATTAAGAAGTTCTTCTGAGTAGGCCATCTTTCTATATGAGCCCACCATATAAATATCTTCGAGTTTAATAATTTAGTAAGAAGTTTACAATTCTGAGAGAACTAAGTATGTTTAGAAGATGCTGCACTGTAAGAATGACAGGTGCATTCCATTTTATTCCTCTAAGGAGTGACTATACAAATAGACATGTGCACACCCATGCTCACTGCAGCACTGTTCACAACAGCAAAAAGATGGAACCACCTAGGTGTCCATCAACGGACAAATGGATAAGCAAATTATGGTATATTCACACAATGGAATACTACACAATGATAAAGAACAACGATGAATCCATGGAAGGCATTAACGCTGAGTGAATTTAGTCAGTCACCAAAGGACAAATATTGTATAAGACCACTATTGTAAGAACTCAAGAAAAGGTTTAAATATAGAAGAAAACATTCTTTGATGGTTACGAGGGGAGGGAGGGAGGGAGAGGGTTATTCACTAACTAGATAGTAGACAAGAATTAGGTGAAGGGAAGGACAACACACACTACAGGGGAAGTCAGCACAACTGGACTAAACCTCTAAGGAGTGACTATCTCCATCAAAAATCTAATAAGATCAATACTCAAAATGAATTTGAAGTATTAGTCTCAGAGTCTGTTAAAATCCATCAAAAAATAAAACAGATCAAAAGTCCTAAAAAGGTTAAAAGTTCTCAGAGATATCTGCAGAACTGTATGAATGGGAACAAAAATCCCGTTATGTTTCTGTAGTAAAATATGCTTCCATTCTTCAAGTAATAAAAGCCTGGACAACTGAAGAGAAACAGCCAGGAGTATGCTCTGAAGGGGGAAAAATTTAGGATTTAAACAATTTCCAGAGGTAAACACAAAAAAATGCAAGGAGAAAAAAAAAGATGACACTGAGCTTATGAAGTCTGTCACAGAAAGCAGCCAGAGAACACAAAGACAAATTCTGGTTCTCAAATTGTCTGGTTTCCCCGTTAGGCGGCTTCTCTCATTCACGCTACCATGAAGGATGAACGATTTTAACAGCAGAGTATATATCCATGCATGAGAAAAAAATACATGTAGACTTTCCAGAGATTTTCACTCAATACATCAGGAAAAACATATACCAGAAAGATTAACTCAGTTTAAATAGCTGACATAAATTACTAAAATTTAGCACTACAGGAACTTTTGCTTACCTGCCATACACCCACAATTGCATTGGCTACTAATATAAGTAAAATTACAAAGGGTTCTACAAAGGCTGTAATTGTTTCTTCACCTTCTTCAAACCAAGCCAAAACCTAAAAGAGAAATGGCATTTGTTAGAACTGTTTTTGCGTTTTTAGGCTTAGTGCCACTTTACAACAGAAGCGGCTGGCACTAAAGGAATTACACTAGACAAAATCACTTTTCTTACCTTACCAGAAACAAATGGTGGCGGAATGTAATGACACAACCAGCTATGTCTTGTTCATAATCTGAGAGTCCAAACTATACAACTTCCTAACAGTACTCTTAGAGTTAATTGATTTTTCAGTTTAATAACATTTTAGAAACCAAATGAAATATTGTGAGGGGAGGGCAATAAATCCCATTCATTTCATATCCATATAACTCACAAGAAATAAAATGTACATTATTCATTTAAAGTAGAAGGCAATCATCAACAACTATGCTGATCTGGTTAATATTCATATCAAATAATATCCCTAGGTGCCACAAATTCACAGTAAAAGCAACTTGATCATTGACTCAAATTTTAGAGTATATAAACTATTAATCCCCAATTTACTTTCAGACCTATTACTGAAGGCCCTTCCAGAATTACTGTAAGGTCACTCTGTGATTGCAACTGTATTTTGAAGGTGATCTTCCATTATAACATCTAGTACAGCAACACAGCACTTCAAAGATAACTGAAGTCCAAAAATGTTAGAACTGGATGCAGAACACAGCCCCAAGAAAAACGAGCTGAGGGTTCAACTTTTAGCTTACGCATTATAACCTTGTTAAGATTTAAAGTGCCACACTGTACTTCATTCATCCTAAGGTAGTAAATAAAATAACACTGAATCTTGAAATAATAATAAAAGAACATAATAAACAATGATCTAAATGGTTAAAAATTTAACAACCAATTTTTGTAAAGTACCCGACAGTCCAGAAATGATGTTAACTGGATCTAATGATTCAATCTGGGTGGTGAGGTTTGCCTTTTCTAAAAAAAAATTGTTTAAAATGCTCGCATATTTCACAATACAATATCTCCTTTAAAAGAGCTATTTAGTGGACAGTAAATGCAGTCTTTTTAGATCTCCTTTTGCATATTCTTAGATATGATTTATGACAATAATAAAGCCACCTGACTACATGCAACACATGTGAATCTAGTGGAATACTTTAAAGTGAGCTTTTACACAAATGGCAAACAATCAGAAAGATAATCAAGGCAAGGTCCAACGCATTATCACAGAAGTAAAAGAGGGTAAAAAAGGGTAACAATGAATAAACAAGACATATCCATTTGAGCAAGAAGAAAACCAGGAGGCCCCAGGACAAGGATGGGGGAAAAAACCTCCTGATAGATGCCCATGGCTGCAGCCACTGCTGAAGGAGGGCAGGCAGGCACCAGGATGAGTGACAGATGTCACCACAGCTTTCACCAGGGCATTGGTGGGGTTAAGGCCAGGCCTAACGCCAGAATGAAAACTTCTCCAGGAAGTTATAAATTTTGATAGACGCAAGATCACAGCTGCTCTGATACTAGCTTTCCAAACATTTGCCAAAGAGAGCCTATCAGAAATAAGAAACTTAATTAGCTTTTGGGGGAGAAAAATTGCTCAACTTGAAAAGTAACCAGGACCTTTTCAAAAGGTCAGTGAGGCATTAGCAACTCTAAGACAAGCTTCACACCTTATTAAGGCGGGTCTGAGTTTCCCTCTTGGCAGCTAGGCCGGAGGAACAAACTTAAAGCAATACTCAGGAAGAGCCGGAGCACAGGAAAAGACTAAGACAAGCGGTGACAAGACTATCACCAGAGCAAACCACTACTTTTCAAGAAATGTGCAGTTCCTCTTCACAAGCGGAATATATCCCTCCATCATTTCACAGTCTTAATATGCACAATGCAGAAGAACTGGGACTTCGAATGCTTATGTGCAATAAACACAGGCATTCATATTGTTACTTGAAGCTTCTACAGAGATACACTAATTACAGCCTGGATGAAAAACTAGTGGGCAAATCTTTTTTAGATGGAAGGATGGTGCCAGCCAAACCTATTAAAATCAACAACCACCAGTTTCCTGGATACTTTTTAAAATGCCTGTTTTGAAACCATAAATAACCCAAAGAATTAAATGCTATAGCCCAAAATGAAAGGCAGCCATATTTAACTAACTAGCAGGAACCAATCCAGTCACTCATGTGCAGATCACATCTGTCACAGTTTTGTTCTACCTATTAGAAAACCTCTATGTTATATAGGTTGGAAGATTAAAAAAAAAAAAAAAACCCCACAAAAAAATAAGAAAGTTGCCACAGAGTCGATTCCAACTCATAGCACAGTGCACAGTGCAGAACTGCTCCACAGGGTTTTCAATGGTTACGGCCTTTCGAAAGTAGATCACCAGGCCTGTCTTCCCAGGTGCCTTTTCTCCGGTGCAGCTTTTGGTTAGCAGCCAAGTGCTTAACCATTTTTACCACCCAAGGAGCTGGGAAGATGATACTGACAAATAAAAGACTCCATGAGATCTGGAGGAGCAGGCAATGGAGAGGAGAATCAGATGAGTGACATTACTGCCAAAATGCAAGATGCCTTATTAGCATTACAGTACAATCAGTTCACATCGTGGTTTACCGGAAGTTATACAAAATTCAAGGAGTCCCTGGGTGGCACAAACAGTTAAGCACTTGCCTACTCGCCAAAAGATTAGCAGTTCAAACCCACCCAGAGGTGCCTTGGAAGATATGCCTGACGATCTGCTTCTGAAAGGCACAGCCACGGAAAATCGTATGGAGCCGTTCTACTCTGCACACACTGAATCGTCATGAAGTTGGAATGGACTCGATGGCAACTAACAACAACATACCAAATTTATTTGTACAGGAGGGTAGCGGTACACAAATTTAAACATTAAGAAAGCAAAGAGGGAAACAACTTCCTCAACAACATGGAGGGAAAGCAGGAATAAAGGCAACTGCATTACAATTTTAGGTATAAATTAAAGTGTTTCTTCTTTCCTTTGCTTTTTACTATTAATACAGTAAGAGCACTTGTATTCAGGGGCTTACATTAGCAAGCAAGTTTAAAGTTTCAAATCTGCCAATTTTCCAAAGTAACGTTTTCAAAGTAACAATTTGCTAATCCAACACTAAACTACAATTTAAACCGCTTAAGCGGGGTAGGACAGGGTATCTTCCAACTGTCATCTGGAATATCGATCTCTGCACAGCACTGCTAACTTCTGATCGGATAGCCAAAACATGCTGGGTAGCAGAGATTAACAAATAAAGGAAATTTTAATCCCAGGTAAAAAGGTGTGTTCTGGTATACACTGGGGAAAGTCATGATACTGCGACTCAGTTTCCATATGTACGTGTGGGAATAAAGGGCTGAGCCCACCCCCCTCAAAAGCAAACCTCAGAGTGATTTTTTTAAAAGTAACGAAAACTAAAGACTTTATCAAAATTGGGAAAAAAAGAATCACCAATAAGTGTTGCGATAACTTTCTAGAGCGGGAAACAAATATTCTTTCAGCTGTTAAAAATCTAGATGATTATTAATCAGACTTCATTCTCTCTCATCTAGACAGAAAACTTATGTCAAAAATAACACTCTTCAATATGTTTTCAGACTTGAGAATACAATCTTCTAAACAAATCAAAACAAAAACACATTCACCCTTCCAACCATATTTTAAGAAAGTCTCTAAATAAATTAGGAAAACCAATAAATTGTCCATTATGTTTTCCTTTTTTTAAAAAAGGAAATTAGAAACAAACAAAACACACACACGCAAGATAAAATTTAAATGCATTACACGATGCACTATCAAATACTTTCTGAATATATACTTCAAAGAACACCAAAGTTAATCTAGGATTTTGAAAATCCTACCTCCACAAAGTCATCGTTTAATTACCTGTTCTGTCAAAATAACTACCCTAGACTCTATAAGGAATGAAGAATCCCTTTCAAGGAGCTCTAGCAGAAAGAAGACATACACAAACTATTCAAATGTGAGAAGTGCCAGTCCAGGCAGCTTTATTAGCATTCTAGGGCCCATCTACTAAGTGGCTTAGGTGGAGGAATGGGGACGAAAGGTAGAGAGAACCTGTGCAAACTGAGTGACCAGAGAGGACCTCAGAGTTGACTAGAGGCGAATATAGTTCTAATGCTCGCCAGCAGATCACCTTCTTAGAGGCCTTTCCTGACCCCCCTCCCTGTTTTATTCTTCTCCGCAGCACTATTAGTACCTAATAGATCGTCCCCACTAACAGGTACACCCCAGGCCAGGGACTCTGTCCATTTTGTTTGTTGTGATGGGGAACAGGTGCTCAATTAAAAAAGGGAGGGCATTCCAGTTAAGCAGCAGTATGATAAGTTGTATGAAGGGTGAAGTTGTTACTGAGGAGGATGGAAAGACAAAACAAAATGACAGAGGGCCTTGACTGTCAAATTATGCAATTTTTAATATTACTCCACATGTACCAGGAGATGTATAGCTCACTTCTCCCAATCCAAGTGACTTTAAAAAAAAATTTTTTTTTTTGGGGGGGTGAATATTACAAATTAACTAAACTTTATCCCTACCAGTCACAAGTATAAAACATGAATGCAATTTCTCACTTTCTGCTACAGCAAGATACTGACTATAGTTAACAGTCTACTAGTTAGTTTGATATTTGAAATAAATTACCAAGGCCTAGTATGTCTTTTAAACTCCAGCAGGACCTGATGATGCACTGTGTGTACGTATTGTAAGAACCGTCTGTTCACTTCTCCAAAAAGTCAGAATATTCTACAACATTTTTCCTGTTAAATTAACAGGAATAAACTACCACAGAAAGACTCGGTAGCTCTTTCTTTTGAAAGATAAAAAGAAATGAGCAATGAAAAGGTCAAGTGCAATACAGCACTGTCAACCCCACAAGAAGGAAATCGTCAAAACAGGTTTAACACCCACAAATTCTTGATCAAACAAACCAAAGCAAATTTAAGTGATTTCTATAGTAAAACTACTTCCTAAACACTTGGTATTCATTCGTTAATTAGCAACCCACAACAATAGAAATGTAACACCACTCAGTACCTCAGTGATAACTCCCAACTAGTTACCACAAAGGCAACTCAAATTTCAAGTCCAAAATATAGCTCTATAAAGCTCTAAAAAGCCAACGTCCTACCTTACAGTAAACTTAAAATGCCTAGAAACTATTAACTCCTAATGACTTCAAAGTTAAAAAACAACCCAAAAACCCAGTAGCTTCTTTACTGTAACATCAGCAGCATTATTTCCAACACTGCTTTAAGTTACAACAGACAGAATAACTCAGCAACAATTTGCCGAACCCTGACCGGAGCCCCCATTCTTATCTGCCAAAGTGAATGAAGACTACTTCAGAATTAATTATGTAGCCAAATTAAATGTAAATATCATACCAGCCCAAATATATCACTTGTTTTGCCCCATGGCAATACAATGCAACTCTAGTTAATTAAACAGGTCTACTCATTTATCTCAGTTGGTAAAGCAGCATTTGGGGGTGGGGGGGTTATTTCAAAAAAGATTAAATCAAAAACAGACAGGCACACAGAGGTAGAGTGATTCAGTATGCTGAATGGTTTGCTATATGACACTCTAAATTTTACTCAATGAACACCATAGAAAGACTCTCCGATTGGAGACTGAATTATTAATGGCTACATATCACTTGGCTAAGTCTCTGGGCAGAATTTATGTGCAAAATTACACCAGATGTTCACCTCTTGCCACCGTCTACTTAAAAGATGTAATTCTCAAAATAGCCCTCTATTGTCTGATTGTCACAGACTGAGGTAGATCCCTGGGGTTTACAAAGATACAAAAATGAAACCTTGAAGCTCTGTCAGTTTTGCAAAGCCAGAAAAAAGTACTGCCTGGATGAATTTCACTTCCCATCATGCTTTTTATAAGAATAAAGTGCTGTAACTAATTTAAAAACAAAAAACATCGCATGCTATTAGGATTAGGAACATCTGCGTCCTGTTCATGAACATTTTTAGGAAATCTACCAAAAAATGCAAGGCCCAAGAAGAAAAAATGCAATAAAAAATTAACAGTGAACAGAAAAAAAATGAATAATCTAGACATATGTTCTCATACCCCACCCCACCCCAAAATCTTTCTACTCTAGTTCTTTGCATTTCACCAGTTTCTTAGCAACCACACAGGACGACAGCGGGTAAGCACGTACAGAACAAGAAAATACCCTAAGCTGGTTTTTTTTGTCTTTTAAGACACAGAACCAACTGTACTGAATCTTGTTCTCTCAACCCAGGAGTCACTCAAGACGGGGGTCCAATTTAGATAAATATACCACCCTGAAGGTCAGTGACCAAATTTGGTCAACAGGAGTGCCATCACGGCCGTCATCATTCTTGTCACTGTCAGGAACAACTGTCACCTTGCCATTACCAGGAAGGGAAAGCAACTAGAATATTCCTTTTGTAAGTTCTATTTACAGATGGCTAGGAACCCAACATCATCTTTGTATGATCTTACAACGTAACAATGGATGAACCCAAAAAGAAAAGGCCTCCCAATGCAGAACTTTTTGGTACTAAAAGCTAACTAAAACACAAGAATTTCTAAGACCCTGCCACATTTTGGGACAATTTCTAATTGCACTGTAAATGTCAGGCATCCGTTAATATTTTCTAAACATAAATGGCTTCAAGTGTTTTGCTTATAATCTTAAAATATCTCAGGTGTTTTTTTTTTTTTAACATGGAGACATAGCATAAATTTCCAAATATGTTTTCATCCAGTGGACACTACTGTCTGGTTTTTCATCTATGGAACACCCTCAATTTTTTTTGTGGAGGAGGAGAAGAGGAGAAAAAATAAATTTCTTTATACTTACAAAAGATATACATGCTGCCAGCAATAAAATTCTAACTAGTAAGTCTTCAAACTGCTCAATCACAAGTTCTAGCAAGGTTTTTCCTGTTAGAAACAAACATATTTGTTGTAATTGTCATCTTAACATCAGCACACGAAAGGGGGGTGGGGGGCATTTTAAGATGACTTTACCTTCTTCAGCCGGTAACTCTGCAGAATGTAGAAATTCGCCGAGCAACGTGTCCAGGGGGAGGAGGAAAAAAAAACACATTTTAATACTCTTGCCTTTCTAAAAAGAACTGCTAAAATCACAAGCATCTCTGTCTTTGAAACACAAACCTAGATACATGTACAGTCTTTTTTTAAAAAAAAAATATAAAACATACTAAAATGAAACAGGCAATAATTTTTTTAATCAGCGGCCATGTATGTCTAACCCGAACAGGAAAAGCATCGCCGACGAAACAGGCCTCCTGAAATAAGGAGTCTTTTGAGCTATGTCATCACTTCTGCCAGATGTGTAATTCTGGGGAGTCCGAGAACAGTCAGAGGCTTTCCCAACGACAATGCCGCCTCATAAAGCGGCTGGGGACCAGAAAATGTCTCGCAGGGCTCAGCCCTCCCACAAGCGAGGCCACCGCGCTAGCTCCGCGCCGGGAAGGTCAAGGGCTCCGGGCGCCAAGGGTCGAGCCCGACGGGGCGCCCTGCCGCAGCCCCTCTCCGCGGGCCGGGGCCGGGCATTGATCTGCCCTGCAGCCCCCGGCGGGCGGCCAGCCGAGCCCCACGCGGCGCAGCCGGGTCAGCCATCTTCCCTGGCGCTCGGGCCCACGCGGCGCCTACAGCCCGGCGCGGCACCTACCGTTGGAGCCCCATCTCTCCTTGAGCTTCTTGACCTGTTCCAGGCTCAGCCCCGTGCTCTCGTTGACGCCGAAGTGGCTCAGCACCTCCTCCACCGTCTTTGTGTGCGCGTTCTCCATGGCGGCGGGGGCCCGGCCGGCCTCTCCACGCGTCCTCGCGGCCTCCTCGCCTCAGCCTCGCCCTCGGGCCGCCGCCGGCTCGTGCCACCCCGGGCGCCCAGGCGCTCACTGGCCGATCGTGGCCTCTCCCCCGCCTCCTCCTCCGGCCGCTTCCGCCTCCCGGGCGCTGAATCACCCCGAGCCCCCTCCCCCGACAACCGCCCCTCTCGCGGCCGGCCCGCGCCGGCGCCCGCACTGGCGGGCTAAGGGCCCTCGGCCCTCCGACCCTCTGCAGAACTGAGGGCCTCCTTCGCACTCAACGGCCTGCCGGCAGCGCAGGCCGCGGCCCCGAGCCCCTCCCGCTCTCCTGAGGCGATCAGCCGCCCCGCCCGGGCTGCAGAAGGGGGCGCCGGCCGACCCCTGAGGGCGGAAAACAGCGAGGGAGGCGAGCCGGCGGGGTGGTGTGCGGCGCGCTCGCCCTGTTCCCTCAGCGACGCACCCCCGACAGCACCGGAGGGAACTGCGGCGGCGGAGAATGAGGTGGCGTCGGGGACGGCTCCGCGGCGGCTGCTCTAATAGCATTTATCCGCCGCTGCCTCCCCTCTCGCCGCCGCCGCAGCATGTGGACGCCGCTCATTGGCCGAGAGCGCCCAGCACGGCGCGGGCGGCGCGGCCCCGCCCCCTCCCCGCGGCTCCCTCCACCTTCCCTATCGCGCGCCTCGCGCCCACGCCGCCGCGCAGGCCCCGCCCCCTCCGCGCACCGCCCCAGGAACCCGGATCGAGGCCGGCACTCGCCGTCGCGCCCGCGCAGTGCGCGCTGCGGCCAACGGGGAGAGGCGGGATGGTGGGTAGCGCAGCCCGGCATCTCCTCGGTCCTGCGGCTCCCGGCCCGCGCTTCCCCCGCAGACGCAGAACCCAGGGTAGCGGGGTGTGATTGGACTCGGGGGGCTCCCTGCACTCGCGGCCCCAAGGGAACGCCTTCGGGGGCTGCCTCGGGCCAGGGTAGGTGGCTGGGAAGGCGAGGCCGAGGCACTCGGTCCATGCTGGGCTTCCCCAAGGCGCGCTCGGTGGTGCGCTCGGCTCGCCTGCTCGCCCTCCGTCTCCAGTACCGCGCTCTGCCTGCTAGTATGTCTCTGTCAGATCCCCTCAGGAGCCAAGGGGAGGAATTCCGCAGCTTTCTTCCCACACGGCCCAAATCCCGCATCTGTTACCTCAGGAACGCTGCACCCCACACCCCCAGCCCGGAGCGCCACTGCTCGCAGTATCAGCCCTCTCCAGCGGGTTCCGTGCCCTGATAGGGAACCCTATTCTAGGGGAGGGGGAGAAGGCTTTTTATTGTTAATAGCCCACGTCGCCTGTGATGCACGTCTGCATAGACAGGTCATGCTACCATGACTGCTAAATTGCAGCTAGGATTGCTTCGGATGCTTGCCTCTCACGAAGAAGGCGAGTTTCTAGACTCCACTTTCCCCAACCGGAGAAGGACTTCGGTCCACAGATAATTTGCTTCTGGGGTCTGTAGAAAGCTTAAGTACAAGCAAGATAGAAGAAATTTTGCCAATATAAAGAAATTATTCCTACTTAACAGGGAGGGACGTCTGCTTTGAATTCATGGGAAAAAAAAAAGTGAACATATTCGCTTCAGAAGGAAGGGAAGCTTTCTTACGGAAGCGTATTGCAGAAGGAAGCATTTAGTCCACTTCAGTGTTTGGCAGTAGTGTGCCATCCACGTGAACAAAAGTGGAGCAAAAAGTACCTCAATTGCCCTAGACAGCTCAGCCTCAGGACGTCAGATAAATGCCTTCAGCAGATGCAAATCACAGTGCATTACCCGCGTGAAAAAAAATGAGGCACGTCATTTCATTATTTCCAAGGAGTGGAGGCTGGCGTGCAGTTTTGACTGATAACTTGGAAAAGGACCAAGAAGCCCTAGACGAAACAACAAAAAAAGTGCTAGTGTAAAGCAATGCACTAAGAGAAGGTGGAAACTGGTTGGGTCACAGGACCGGAGCCTCTTGCAAGAGGCACGTGATCGCCGTTGGGGGTGTGGTGATGGAGGGCTGGTGGTTCTTGTCCCTCTGACACCAGGTCTGCTCCACTGCTCACCAGTTTTCTGCCTCATCTCATCTCTCAGCACCAACAGAAGCACCGCAGGCAGGAGGATCGGTACCTCTTCTCAGCCTGGAAGTTATCTTGGGCATTTGAGTTTGGATCTCCATTCTGTGGCCTGGACTCAAGTACTTGACAGTGTAAGCGCCTCCTGGGCAATAGTGAGCTTCTTAAGGGGTTCCCGACATCAGCCCTTTGTAATGGAAGAAACTGATGCTGGTCCCCCAGATCTGCACACGCTCGGTTCAATTTTATCTTTCAGAAGTCAGCGTAAATGTCACCTCCCCAGAGAGGTCTTTGGGGACTACTTTATCTAAAGTAGCTACCATCCCTAAGCACCCTCTATCCCATCGTTCGGTTTTATTTTCTTCACAGCACTTATCTCTGAGACTGCATTTTTGTTGAGCTGTTTGCTGCCTATCTGCCCTGACTAGAAAACAGGGGTCGGCTGTCTCATCCTTCCTCAGTACACAGAGAGCAGTCTCTGGTATACTATACGCTCATCAATTATTGAGTGCCAACTATTGGAATGAATGAATGAGTCCCCCACCCTCCCCAACTGTTCAATGACTTGCAAGCGGCCTTGCCCACCGGAGGGCCTCAGTGAAGTTTTACTGAGCTAAAGATCATTGATTTCCAATTTGTGAAAAAACGGGAGGAACTCAACTACTTGCCTCATGGGAATGGCTATGGAGGTTCATCAGGTGTAAGCAAAAGCAAAGCTAGAAAGCATTATGGGTTTCTCTGAGATGGAGTAATGTTTAAGTTCACATTGGTACTGCTACCACATTGCCATCATCCTCCTTGGCTGTTCTTTGCAAGTTTTCTACCTCCTGTAGGCTGAAATCCTCCCTTAAACTGAAACTGTGTGATTTTTCAACCAGGGTTGGCCCCTTCTATATCATACCAATTATTATGCCCTTGCAGTCCCTGGCTGGTGCAAATAGTCAAGAGCATGGCTGTTAACTGAAAGGTTGGAGGTTCAAGTTTACCCAGAGGTACCTAAGATGAAAGGCCTGGTAATCTACTTCTGAAAAATCAGCCATTGAAAATCCTATGGAGCACAGTTATACTCTGACACACACGGGGTTGCTATTAGTTGGAACGGATTCATCAGCAACTAGTTTGGTTTGGTTTTTTTTATTATGCCCTTGATTCTTCAATCTGCTGATGTCTCTAAATTGGAATACTGAAACATGTCATTTATAGGTGGCCAAATTTATCACAAACCCAGCCTCCCAAAGGCAGAAGGATCTAGCTTCTCTTATGTAGAAATAAACTTGTGCTCAATATATTTTATCCATTGAACTAGCTTCTTTTAGCAAGGTTTAAAAAAAAGATTGGGTTTTAGAAATACTCTTTTTTTTCCACCAAGGATTCCAGCTATATTCAGTAAATTGAGGACAGAGAGAGAAAAGGAAGAAGGGAAGCTGTGATTCAGAAAGATGGATGATTTAATCAAAGACCTTCAAAGGCATCAATAAAGGGGGATAGGAGCTGGTAAGGCAGCTTGGTTTAAAAAGGTAGGCAGACAGAAAAGAGTGACTTGCAAAAGAGAGGCTCCAGTCAACACCCCAACCTTCCACAGGCCTCCTGTAAAGTGATGGAGATTGCAAAGGCAGCCTGTTCCATACTGGGACCGCTGTAATCATTGAAGCCATCTCATTCTGGGCCGAATATACCTCCCATTAACTTCTATACATTGGTTGTTTAGCCCTCTGCAACCACTTTGAATAACTTTAATAATTCTTCTACATGTTATTCCTTTCAAGATGTCTATTGTGCTAAAAGTCTCCTTTCTCAGCTGAAAAAGAGCATCTCAGTCTGAGTTGTTCCTCCTACAGCATAATTCTCCCGTCTCTCAGCATCCTTGTCATCCAGTACTGGAGATGCCCACTACTGGACACAAAACTCTGGGCAGTTATCACTACCTGCCTTCTTCTGGATCCTTCCCCCTGCACGGTGTTGATTTGTGTTAATAGTCAACTCAAAACAGAGTCCTCTGTATGTGAGCTGCAGACAGGTTAAATCTTCCCATCATGCACTTGCACTGTTAATTCTTTTTAACCGAGACTAAATTTTGCCTGTAACTGAATGTTACCAGGTTCATTTCGGTTCATACTGGCAGTCTATTGTAGTCTTTTGGAGTCTTCATCTGTCAAGAGGAGTGTTAGCTATATCTCCCAGCTTTGGATTACCCATAAATCTGATCAGCATGCCTTCTATGTCTTCATCCAACAGAACCTCTAGAGATTCATGCCAGATTGAAAAGAACGAATCAACTAGATCTAATTGTTCAACTGCTATAAATCAGCTTAAGTACAGATTCTAAAGTAAGTAGAGTAAAAATCTTATAATGCACCTCTCTCCCAGCCAAAATCTCCCATAATACTTTACTATACAGGATTGGAACAGCTCATTCTTCCTTTGGTTGAGCACTTGATGCAGTCAGCTTGACTTAAGGGTCATATTATATGAAAAGTCACTAATTTGCACTGTCAGAGACAGGCAGGAACTAAGATCATCCAACTGACTCACGTCCACCCGCCATCTCTCATTCACTCCTGGTCACAGCTTCTTGAGTGGGATGGTGGGCAGAGTTGCCTGTACTATTTAAATTGTCATGGAAGGTCAAGTCATTTATAGTATTATAAAGATGCTAGCCCACTGCACCATTATCTAGCTCACATTTCTCTCCTTCGTTCTTAAGAATTTATAAGAGGGCTCTGTCAAATTCATTGCTAACATCCAAATTGTCTACAAGAGTCTCCAAATCCTCATTCTAGGGCTGTTTTCAACACCCATGGAGGCAGTAGTCAAGGAATCAAAGGACATATTGCACTGGGCAAATCTGCTGCAAAAGAACTCTTTAAAGTGTTAAAAAGTAAAGATGTCACTTTGAGGACTAAGGTGCACCTGACCCAAGCCATGGTGTTTTCATTTGCCTCATGTGCATGCAAAAGCTGGACAATGAATAAAGAAGACTGAAGAAGAATTGATGCCTTTAAATTATGGTGTTGGTGAAGAATACTGAATATACTATGGACTGCCAGACGAAGGAACAAATCTATTTTGGAAGAAGTACTGCCAGAACGCTTAGAAGCAAGGATGGTGAGACTTCATCTCACGTACTTTGGACACATTATTAGGAGGGACGAGTTCCTGGAGAAGGACCTCATGCTTGGTAAAACAGAGGGTCAGGGAAAAAGAGGAAGACCCTCAATGAGATGGATTGACACAGTGACTGCAACAATGAGCTCAAACATAGCAGTGTTTGTGAGGATGGCGCAGGACCAGGCAGTGTTTTGTTCTGTTGTACATGGGGTCACTATAAGTCAGAGCTGACTTGATGGCACCTGACAACAACAAAAAGGGATCTTTTCACACAAGTGTGCTCAGTTTGATATGGCTTGTGTTACTGAACACAGGCTAGTGCCTAGTGACCACCACTTCTTCTGCATGCCCACAAACTATAACATCTACAAGAA